CAGCAACTCCAGTAGCAAAGTCTGTGCAATACACAGAATTAAACAGCTCAGCAGGACTGAGTGATGCCAAAGCCATGCTGAAACTCCCCCAAATATCCCTAACAGGGTCAATCTGCACTTCAGGGTACAGTGTCAACACCATTTAAACTCCAAATTACACACCCACAGATGTCTGTTGTTACAAAAAACATGTGACTTATAAACTCCAGTCTGTTTGTTCAGACAAGGTCTTGATCCTAAACAGAAAAAAAAAAATTAAGATTTTGGGAATACACAACAGTGCTCATAGTAAGTAAATAAATTTTAAAGCAAGAGCTGTGTGAGGAGAAAGAAACTACTTAAATCAGTGATATTTTCTGTCTGAATTGGACCTCAGTCTCTCTTTACTCATCGGAAGCTTTGAAGCAAATATCTTTGCAGTTAGTATTTATTTCTAAATTGCTTCCTTGTTTCTACAGCTCTTGCAGTGAGCAGGTATTGGGGAGCTCCTCAGGGAGCTCGTTACAGCTATGGCAGCAAAGCCAAACTAACACTGAACCATTTTGCAAATTCTGGTTATAGACTCCATGGCAAGCTGGGAGAACAGCAGAAGTCCCAGTGCTACAACTTGAGGGTACTCAGAAATGAGAGGGTTCCAGCCAAAGCTCAGTCCCACAGCTCAGTGCAGTCCATGGCTGGATTGGACTGGGGAGCTTAAAGAGGTGGCCCAAGTTCAGGTCAGGCACAGTCACTGAGTGACTCCTCACAACAGCCCCCCCTGGCTCCCTGCATTGTCTTCCTGTCCATCCTGCACATGGATCAGGGCAATCCCAGCACAAACGCAGAGAATGGACTGGGAGCAGCCCTGGGAGAAGGATTTGGGGGTGCTGGAGAGGCAGAGCTGGACAGGCCCTGGGCTGAGCCCCCAGTGTGGGCAGCAGCGGGGGATTCTGCCCCTCTGCCCTGCTCAGGTGAGACCCCACCTGCAGAGCTGGCCAGCACAGGAAGGAGCTGGAGCTGCTGGAGAGTCCAGAGGAGGCCATGGAGATGCTCTGAGGGCTGAAGCCACACTGGGAGAGCTGGGAATGCCCACCTTGCAGAGGAGAAGGCTCCAGGGAGACCTCAGAACCCCCTCCAGTGCCTAAAGGGGCTCCTTTTAAGAGAGATGGAGAGGGGCTTGGGCAGGAGCCTGGAAGAACAGAACAAGAGGGAATGGCTTCTCACTGCCACAGGGCAGGGTTAGGTGGGATACTGAGAAGGAATTCTTGGCTGTGAGGGTGCTGAGGCCCTGGCACAGGGTACCCAGAGCTGCCCCAGCCCTAGAAGTGTCCAAGGCCAGGTTGGACGGGGCTTGGAGCAGCCTGGGCTAGTGGAGGTGTCCCTGCCATGGCAGGGGGTGAGAGTGGATGAGCTTTAAGGTCCCTTCCAACACAAACCAATCTGTCATTTTATTATCTTTGCTCTGAAAGTGAAATTAATTCAATATCAAGTTTGGCTCTTATTCAGTACGGAACGGAAACAAGAAGGATTTTTACCTCATCTCTCGCTCCTCGTGCTGAGCTATGAGGTTGCTGTAGAAGTTTTCCAACGTCACCTTTGTCATTGTGACTCTCTCCTTGGTGTGGTTACTCATGGATGAGCATGGCGTAGGGCCTGTCATGGCCATGGCTGGTAGGAAAGGAGAAAGGAGGAACATCAAACATCATAAATGACAAATAATCTGCAAACGAGAGTCCAAACCCATTAAGTGATGCTTAATCACAGAGCTCAGATTTTAACAACAAATACCACCAGTCTAAGCTAAGCAGGGAAAAGTCTTACAAAATAAAAGGTACAAGTCAAACTTCCTGTTTTGAACATTTTTTGATCTGAAATTAGAGGGAAGGAAACTTAAGAAACCTTGTACCTCAAAAACCACAATTTCAGCCAGCACTGCAAATGTTTATTGTTCCCACCACATTCTATCTTTAATGAATGTTCAAAATTCAGGAATATCACACTGAAACATCTAATCCAGAAGTTATTCTTCCCATAACCCCTGCAGAAATAATTCCACCAATTGCCTACTGGCTCTTCTGTGAAATTTATCTAAATCCTGAAAATCATCCCAAAAAGGGAGCAACTGAGGAATGAGCAAAAAGGTCATTTAGTTGCCCTTAAGTACTTTTACGAGATGTTTTCTCACAGAAATTTGGCCAAATCCAGAGGATCAGTGCCTTTGAGCAAGCTGTAGTTTAAAAAATAATCAAAACCCCAAGTCCCAGTGTAAGTATCAAATGTATTTATTTCTAAGAAAGATATATGTATTTTAATATTGCTTCAGTTTCTGAGAATACAGTATATAAATGGAGTGTGGCACCCCTAACATGTAGCAGCTTCACTGTATTTGACATCCAAGCTCTGTTTCTTGATATGCCTAAAAAACCCTAAAGATTTCAAATGTATAACCACCCCTGGTTCTCCTGTGCATCACATAACTCGCAGTAAGGTAACAAAGTTTTGCAACTGTTACTAGAAATTGCAGACAAAACAGGTGAGACACTTCTCATTTTTATAACCCAGGGTGCTGCCAACACACTCGAATGACTCTTTCTGTTCACTTTTTGCAGATCTTTACAAGGTGTCACCACAAGCCACCTCCTTCCCAGACAGCAGCTAGGTGTTTGCTGTCTTTACAGGTTCCTCGTGGGACACGAGCTGGTGAGCATCTCCAGCTGGGTGGATTTTGAGATGGAATTAAGTCTTTATGTGAGGTGGAATCATGGCTTTATGCAAGAGCAGCTCAGAGTGGCAGGCACGAGTGAGGAGGCGAGGGGGTCACACTCTGCGAGTAGCCCTGGATATGGGGTTACACCCCCAGAGGTGAGTGCTGACACTCCTAGGAATGGGGGTTATACACTCTATTTGTGACTGGGAGGTGTAAAACCATGGGTGGTTTTCACTTCCTAAAGAACAAACCAGGAAAATTATCTGACAGAAAGGGGGTGCAGGGAAAAAAAAAAAAAAAAAGGAGGGGGAAAAGAGAAAGTATCGGTGCCAAACCACCTGTGGGTGCTCGGGGCCCCTTCCACGGGGATGGGCGCTCGGAGCCCACCGACCACCACCCCGGGGGCTGCGGGAGGGAGCGGGGCTGGACTCCCCCGCACCGGGGCTCAGCCGGGGAGGTGACACCGGCGTGGCGGCCCCGCGGCCCGAGCGGCGGAGGGGCCTGGCAGCATCCCCGCAGCGAACAAAGGGAGCCCGAGCCACCAAGAGCGGAGGCGCGGGGGATGCCCGCCGGCCCCGGGCCCGCCCGCGGGAGGGGCACCGGCCGCTGGACGGACCCGAGCGCTCCGCTCCGCTGCCCCGGAGCGGCGAAGGGCCCGCGGGGAGGGAGCGGAGAGGAGGGCGGGCAGAGGATGCGGAGCGCTGGGTGGGGGGCGCCCGTGGGAGCCAGGCGGGAGCGGCTTACCCGGAGCCCCGGGAGGGGCGGCAGGAGCTGCGGGCGAGGCGGCGTCCCGGCGAGGCGGCTGCGGAGCGGCGGGTGATGGTGGTGGGGGCTCGGGACCACGGGAGCCCCACAGCCGCTACCGCCGCCCCCCGCACCGACAGCGACCCGGCCGGGACGGGCGGCCCAGGGACCGCTACGGCGGCGCAGGCGCCCCGCGCCCGGCCCGCCCCGCCCGGGAGGGGCCCCGCGCCCGCCCCGCCCCGCGTGGGGCGCCCGGCCCGCGTGGCGCGCCCGCAGCCGCGGTGCGCACCCACAGCAGCCCTTGCTCTGCCCTGGGCCCGGACAGAGGCGCCGCCAGCTCTGGGTGCCGGCCTGCCTCCGTATGTCACAGCTCAGACGTCCACGATGTACAGAGTATCGCCATACGATTTCAGACAGCTTTAAGAATCCGCCCATACAGAATAACACAATACCGCAGCAGAAGCCTTCAAGCGTCTGACTTACAGGGTAACATCATGTCACTTCAGATGGCTGCAAGAGTTTGCCCTTTCTTGTTCTTCAGCGCAACATTTTACACCCTCATCGTTCATGCGCTGCACCTGTGTGCCCTCTACCCTTTGGTGGTTGGTCAGTGCACCTCGGTGCTCCATGTCTCTACCTTCAATACAGGTCCCCTGACCTACGCAGCTGTAGCCCATTTTACCAGTTAGCACAGCTGTGTATCTACACTGCCCTGCTTCTAGGATGCTCCTGGGGTATTCCTCCCAGCCTGGGAAGCCCTGTCCTGCCTGTCTCCTTCCCACAATGGTGCTGGGACCTGCAGCCTCCCAGTGCACAGCCTGGGCTCACCGTCGAGAGGAGGTTGGTTTTTCCCGTCCCCATAGAGGAGATACACATCCCCCAGTGGCCACAGGAGCCCGGGGGACAGAGGCCACCAAGCCACCAAAGTCACCTCTGCCTCTCAGGGATCAAAGAAATAAACCCTCAGTCCCTGAGGAAACTGCATCTACAAGGACAGAGAGGCTGATCTGCAGTGTGCTGGGCAAGACAGGATCACTTCCCAGAGGTTTGAGCTGTCACAATCAGGTCCCCGGGGCTCCATCCTCTGACTCTGATGAGGAAGAGCTCCCACATCCCAGCTGAGCAAACTCATTGTACAGCTTGGGCTGCACAACTCATTTTCATCTTGCACCTCCCAGCTCATCTGAAATATCTGAAACCATGAGCTTCAATAATTGTTTGGCTGGCCTTGGGAACCTAGTAGGGAGCTATGAGGAATGACATTACAAATACTTATCCCAGATATGTGGAGACATTGGGAAAATGTTGTTCTGCTTTATTTTATTTACATTTCTACCAAAGAAAAAAATTTTTAAAAAGTGCAATTAAGAGGGTGAAAAGGCTATTTTTTATTGATATTTTAATCACTGAGAACTGTATTCAGCACGGTTGAAGTCTATCAGCAACAGAGAAAATTTTTCAGGATTTAAAACTGTCCCTACACAATGGAAAAGCTGATATATTTGCAACACACATGACAGGTTTAATTTCTGAAAGACTGACTTTGCAGTCAAACTGGACCTTGCTTTGCTTAGACAGAGAGGATCAATTTGTTATCAAAGGTGAACAGCAAAATCCAGTGGTACCTCTCAGGAGACACAGGTGGCCTCATGAATCTCTTTTCTTGCTGCTGTGAGAGCTCTTGGAGAGTTATCACTTGAGAAAAGGAAAGGAATTGTGGAACAAAAGGATCAAAGAGGGACCCTGAAAGCTCATTCTCATCTCCTCCACCAGCAGAACAAGATGGTTGTCTGGGGCTTTGGCTGAATGGGGATCACTGCCAACTTCTACCTGAGAAAACAAAGGCAAACTTGAGGGTTCGAGATGTCTAAAACAGTCTGCATGCTGAGGGAGCAGGAAAAACCCTTTGTAACTACACTATAAGAAAAGTGATTATTAGAGCAGAGCGTGAAATTACTGCAGGCAGGTGTGAATGGAAGAGAACCTGTATTCAAAGTTCTTTGTCAAAACATTAGGCTGTGAATGTGCAGATTAATGACCCAAACTTCCTGGAGTGTGAGCTCCAGGAGCCCCAGCTGGCTGCAGCATCCCTAAGACAGACCAGGCAGATGGAGGGGATGATGAAGGCCCTGGCAGGGGAAGAGAAGGGCCCTGTTGGAGTTCTGGATCTCAGAGTCACAGCGCTCAGATGGGAGAGGACCCTGACCCTAACTCTAACCCTGACCCTTTGTGGGAGTGAATGCCCTTAAGGGTTTTTATTTTGCTGTTCCCCTTTGTGCTGGAGCTGTTCCCTCCAGCAGTGCACGTGTAAAGCCAGGTGGTGTATCTGAAGAATATCTGAAGACGGCTGGGCTGACACTGCTGGGAGAAGTCAAAGGGGCTTGAAAAGGCACTGTGGGCTCCAGTTACCCTCTGAGATCTTCCCATCCACCTGCTTTGGTGGGAGGAAGCCCTGAGCTTCTATCGGTTCCAGCAGCTGCTTCATCAGGCTGGAAGCCTCATCTCCATCGCTGCTGTTGAAATCGGAGGGATCTTGGCTCTTGCTGGCGTTTGGGAGCGGGATGTCCCTGCTGCTGGCGGTGTGCACGGCGCCCAGGGCGTGCTGCAGCCACATCAGCCGCTTCAGCCCCTGCACCGCCCTCCCTTTGTCGTGCAGGAGCTGGTGCTCGGTCACTGCCCTCCTGCTGCAGGGGAAGGAGCACGGAGTCAGGCACGGGAGATGCTGCTTTGCAGCCATCCATCCCAGCTGCTTCTCTGCACTAAGGAGCGCTGGAAATGCCTCAGGCTCCAGCAGCCTGTCAGGAAGCATAAAGATTCCTGCAGATGGGAAACTTGTGGGGATGTTGAAAGAATTTTGAATTAATATAGAGATGGGATTTTTGAGTTGTTTTAGATGGTGTGATTTTCTTTTCTTCTGCATAGGCAGGAAGAGTGAGTTTGGCTCACATCTTCGCTGCATGGCTCAGATGATCACAAGGCCTCTAGTTACAAGACTTTTAAAGGATTTATTAACTAATAAAACACTGTCAACAAGGATATTTATGTTTTTGACTTAATTTTTAAATATTTCATCTTATGGAATTATGTTACAGTGTAAGCTTTCTTATGACACACAAAGCTGCAGTAATGTACTCTAAAACTCTAAACTTTCTTCTGTTTAGTTTAATGATCTCTGCTTTAAACTATAAACCCACATTCTTGCTTCAAGCACCTAAATTGGGCAGCCTTTTTGAAAGTCTCAGATCAAATCCTGTGTTTAATTCTAAACTTTGGTTTACAGGCCCAAAGTTCTGAGGGTTACCTGCATTTCAGATTCCAACAAAGCTGAAATTGTGTGCTATTCCCAAAGGCATGCCTTGAATCTCCTCCTTTTTAAGAAAGGTAATCTGGGGAGACTGGCAATTTGGTCTTCCCCAAATTTTGATTCTTTTCACAGGTTTCAATAGTAGAATAAAGTTCCTTTTCCATCCCCTCAGTGTTACAGGACTCTTGGGTTTGTTTCTTTTCTTCCAGAGTTGTAACTCAGGAGTAATTTACCTGAAATCACTGATGTCCATGAAATAAAACCAAACTCGGATTTTTTTCAGATACACCAAAACTTTTGAGTCAACTGTTGACTGAGGAGGGCAGGCTAAATCTCAGATGCAAATGTTTCAGGATTCCAGGCTGCTTAGATAATATCTAACAGCAGCTATAGGCTCCTACTGCAGATTTGGATCTGAATGGGAACCTAAATGTGGAATTTCAGCATGTGCCATCTCCATGGCTTCTGTTGAACATCCTTATGTGATTTGCCACACTGTGTTTAAAAGTGACAGCTGAAATGTGGTCCATGTTGCACATCTAAAAATGCAATTGGTCTTATTTTATACTGCAGAGAGGGTGAGGTAAAATGGTGCTGTATCAAATACATCAAATTTTTCTTCTGCCATGCCTGCAGTAACTAAGAGCAGTGCAGAACACAGCCCATGACATCAAAACTGAGAAATTTTATAATGATATCAGTGAAGTAAAAAGGTAATATTGCTTACTTTTCAAGGTCTTGGCCCATTGCAAAACAGGTAAAAAAAAGAATTGCCAAAAATGTAACTGTCTGCAGAGATATCTGGGGCAGGAACATTTTCTCTCTTCTTTAAATCGGCTCCACAGGACCAGAAGCTGATGGTGTGATCAGAAATCTTTTCCTCTGTTCTTGCTTTCACCTGACAAAATGAATTTCAGCCTTTAAGCAGGGGTGAGAGTGGAGCACTGTGCTGTGGTAAAACATCCCAGGACCTCCCACATCATCCCAGACCCGTGGATTTGTAACAGAAAAGGACAGACAGGATTCACAGGATATTTCTACATTTCCTTGCTTAGAGTCCTAAATCTCCTTTCCCATTGTTGCCTCTTGAGATAACATTTTGAACTCTTGTGCATTTGCAAGCACAGAAAATTGTTTTAGGACTTGGAAGAGACCCTTCTGATTAAAAAAAACTTCACAGCAATTTGACACAAAGATCAGGATTGCTGGAAAACATGAAATCCAAAAGGTATTTAAGGTGGAGCAGAAATATCAAGTTAAAACTTGTTCACAGCCCTGGGGTTTGGGCCTTCAATAGCACAACCTTTTCCATGAGCAATACAAGTGCTGACACCCAAATATCCAGGATTATATTAGGCTGATGCTGGATTTATTTTCTGTGAAGAAGTGGATTTTTGGCTTAGGGAAGGGACAACTAGAAGATGTAATTGTGCAATTAAAAATTATTATTTTAATCTATGTTATCCTTTCATCCAGCTTTATATCTGCTCTTGGCATTGGTACACCCATACCTACCCATCCCTTCAACCCCACCACACCTTTATTGCCAAGTCTAACCCTAAAATTTCTGCATTTTTGGTACTAAAGACTGTACCCTGCTTTAGGATTGGCTCCAGCCCAGCCCTTTATTCATTTACAAGCAAATCCTGTATTAATTGTTACATCGAAACCTGGAGGGACAACAAAACATAAGTTGTAGCATTTAAATTGTTATGTAAGAGTAGCAAAGACAAGTTGCTGTACAATTTTTTTGTAGGAATGATTCTTTCTTTTCAGAAAAAATTTGGGATAATAAAAACCTCAGTATCTCCTCAAAAGACTTGTCTTTATACTAACTTGAATACTGTCAGTGACTGGATAATAAAGCAAATTATATATTAATAGAACATGAATACACATCAATTCTGTATTTGCTTTTAATAAGCCTGCCTCAGTAATTTGTGAATCATTTGCTTGGGCAATATGTTGAAATCAAACTAGATGTGAAATAACAAGCAGGCATTAGTTCTGATAAAAAACATGTATTAAATGCAGATACATGCACATAAATATACATAGAGATGTGTGTATTAAATGCTGAGGGATATTTGAAGTTATGCTAATGCAGAACTGCTCAGACACGATAGAGAAATGACACTTTGCTGCTGTCATCAACAGTAAACTCTAATTAAAAGCATCTCCCAGTTACAAAAGGAACATTATCCACTTACTGGTGGTGTTTGGATCCCAGGGAAGTCGTGACCTGCAGAGTCTCCTGCCAGCCCCGTGGTGATGCTCCAGCACAGTGACACCAAGTGCCCTTGGCCACCTTTTATAGTAGCCCAGAGAGCTCAGGAACAATGGGAATGGGCTGCACAGCCCGTGACTAAGTCCTTGTGCCAGGCAAATGAGACAGCTCCAGCAATAATAAATCTTGGATTTTAAAAGATTCAGCTCTGACTAAGGAAAAGATCACAGCTTTGCAGGCAGTTTCTTCTTCCTTTGCAGGCTCTAGTGTTTTGTGAGAACTTTTGATTCTAACACAGTGTGCCCCAAGATGATGGACAGGGGATATCCAGCTGTTCCAGGGTTGATCAGGAAAAGCATCTCTGGTGTGGAAATAGATTTTGCTCCTTTCCTGTTCTTAATGGCTCAGGTGTGGACCCTGAGTTGGGTAAGAGGAATCTAAATTAACAGTACTGGTGACACCTGCAATGTACAGTCAGCAAAACCCAGTTACAGAATCACAGAATGAACCAGGTTGGAAAAGACCTTTAAGATCATCTAGTCCAACTTATGACCTAACACCTCCTCGTCAACTAAACCACAGCACTGAGTGCCACGTCCAGGCTTTTTGTAATCACATCCAGGACAGTCTCCACCACCTCCCTGGGCAGATGATTCCAGTGCCCAATCACTCTTTCAGTTAAGAATTATTTTTTTTTCTGATGTCCATCCTAAACTCCCCTCATGCAGCTTAAGTGTGTGTCCTCTCATTCTGTCAGTGGCTTCCTGGGAGCAAAGACTGAGCCTCACCTGAGCACAGCCACCTTTCAGGAGCTGTAGAGAGGGATAAGGTCAAACTTGAGTCCCCTTTTCTCCAGGCTGAGCACCCCCAGCTCCCTCAGCCATTCTTCACAGGGCTTGTGTTCTAAGCCCTTCACCAGCCTTGTTTCCTCCCTCTGGACATGTTCAAGCAGGTTCAAGTTACTCACAGAAAATCTCAGGAGCTGGTAAATAATAAATAAAATCCCAGAATGGGTAGACTGGAAGCCCACCATCCCACCCCTTGCCATGGGCAGGGACACCCTCCACCATCCCAGGTTGCTCCAAGCCTGTCCAACCTTGCCTTGAACACTTCCAGGGATGGGACAGCCACAGTTTCTCTGGGCAACCAAAATAAGATCCCACTGGGTTTTTATGTTCAGTACAAATTTAACTTAAAAAATCTGTTGATTTAATTTACAGTAAAAAAAATCTTTTGAAATCTTGGAAAATGGGAGAAACTCACTAAACAATAAAATGCAAGTAGTAGTACAGGCAAAAAGCCAAATTCTGATATGTTTTGATACTCTGCAAGCTGACACCACACAAGGTTTTAGATTCACTGTATGATCTTTAAGCAGCTAATTTCAATAGAATTTGTATATTCAGGGTGTGGCTGGATCATTAGGCTGGAACTACTTAAAAGGACCAGTTCCTGCTTCTCAAAGTGAAAAACAGCATTTGTCACCTCTGAGTAGCAATTCCTTGGGAAGACTGGAAAGATCATTTGCTCAGTGTTTTCCAAAGGCACGGATTCCTTTGCCATAGGCACAGGGCTGTGTTCCTGACAAAGCCAGGCTCGGGTGGATGCAGACACTGTCCTGCACAGACAGGCCCCTCGCAGGGCTTCACAGCCTCTGCTCTCACAGCTTCCATGGACACCAAATTGCTTTTCATTCTGTTCCTCAAGGCAGCTTGTCTGAGCCCCACACTATGTCTGAGACACCCAATAAACATTCCCGATTTAATTACCTGAGTCCTGATCGTTAAGGAGAGTGTCACCCATTTGAGTGCGCCACCAATTACGTCTGACATTCGTTAAATATTGGTAAATCAGGGCCCAGCTTCACTTCTGAGTCTCCAGGGCAGCACTTACACTGTTACACCAAATTATCCACCATGGATCCCTTGGATACATCTTCAAGGATTAATAAGCATTGGCCAAAGTCCTGTGTGAAACATCTGGGACAATTAATCCGTGACCTTTTGAAATCTCCAGAGTACAATGGGTTTTCATCATTGGATGTAGTTATCGGCATCTCTACCGGAAAAACATTGAGTGACCACAAGCAGAGATGGTGGTGTGGGATCAGGACAGGAGCACTTGGAGAATGTTCTGGTGGTCACACCACACTGCCATGGCTTTGCCCTTCCACCGGCCAATTCCTTCCACCAAGAACTTTGGAGAAATCAGAATAACCACGGTCATCACTTTGTGACATCTCCCTGAGGTCGGACTGTGCCAGGGTTACTCTATATCCACGAGAGATACAAGATTTCTAAAGAAAACATAAAATGTGTCCATTGCACACTCCAGGCACTCACCCAGGAGGAAACGTTCCCTGCTGCAATGGGGTCGGTGCTAATGTCACAGGGGGAAATTGTACCACCAGCACTCCCAGTGGCATTTTTAGCTGGGATAAGGTAACCTCTGTGAGAGGCCTGAGCGGTGCAGAGTGGAGCAGGAGCCCGTTCTGCAGGGGAGGTAACGAGGGAGGGATTTTGCCTGACCAGAGCTTGCTCCCCTCGGGGCCTCCCCCGCAGCATTCTTGGAGCCATCGAAGGTTTCAGCCTTGGCTTCAAAGCCTTCGCTCCCTCCCTCCGGCTTTTCCTGGTCCCTGCATGGAGCAGCTTTCGCTGTTCCCTCACCTTCAGCGGGAGTTTTGGAGCAGGAGGGTTGTGCCAATTATAGTTTCCCAGGGAGTGATTCTTTTGTTTTGCTTTCCAGTCCTTTCCCCGGGGAGCCAGGTGGGGGAGGAAAGGAATATGGCCTGCTGCAGGGCATGAAAGAAAAAGGGAAGAGAAAGCCTGGAGGCCCAGCTGAGGGGGAAGAAGGAACTGGGGGAGGGAACAGAAAGCAAAGCAAGTGTGCAAATAGCCTCTGTTAGGATAAAGGGGATCCTCTGGCCTGGGATTTGAAAACTTAATTAAACAAAGACTCTGCTGCATCAAAGGGATCCTCTATCTGTAGGGAGACTGAGAGATCTGAGAAATTTTTTCCTGTGTGCTGTTCTCTGTTACTCACCAGTAACAGGAGTGTGGGCTCCAGAAATCTTCCTGGTTCCCTGACGAAAACATCAACTTTTTTTCTATTATTATTTTTGGGTTGTGGTTGTTTTTTTTTGTTTTGTTTTTTTTTTTTTTCCCTTACTGCTCTTAGCCCAACAGAGCCAAAATCCTTTGAGCTGCTGTGCCGTGTGTGGGAAGCCGGGCACCGCCCTGCCGAGAGGAAACGCTGTGACCACGCTCAGGGTAAATAGAGCTGCCCTGAGCTGCTGGAGAAGCAGCAGCTGCCGAGGGGCTGTTTGCCCTCCCTGGCCTCCCTCCCTCAGAGAAGGGAGGAAATGACACCTCACAGCAAACCACGAAGATTTTGGCACCATCACACCTGCTCTCGAGGTGCTACAGGGGCATCAGCAGCTCTCTGGCCCCGGGGAAGGAGCCAGCAGACCCATGGCTTCCATAACCATTTCAAGAGGTGAAGTTCAGCTTCCAGGAGTGAGTTCCAGCCTTCCCCTCCCTCTGGGTGCTTTTAGCTGTTCTGTGTCACCTCTGTGCCCCTGGGGACAGTC